ATTAAATAATAATTTATCTCTGTCTTTACATAGATTTAATAAAAAAAAATATTTTTGGTCTGGTTGAACAGTGTTTTCCAAATTGTTTCTTTTATTAGACACAATTTCCTGGCAATTTTTCTTTCTTCAGGATGAACGAATCATGGAAATCATGAAATCGGTACCAATACAAGGTAGATCTTGGCCAGGAAAGTCTCTCCTGTGATTGTTTTCCCATAATCGCATGCTCTGAAGCATCAATGGACAAAACCTCAATATAAACAATTAACAATGTGGAAAATATTCTGAAATGTATTAGTAACTTAAGAAATGGAACAAATTGCCTCCTGAAGTTGTATAATCTCTTCAGAAGGGATACCTAGAAAGAGGATGTAAGTGTATAACCAATTCTCCAGTACAAATTTAGGCTACTTTAGTGCAATGGATTGAACAAGGCAACTCTTCAATTCTATGACTGCCTGAAAATGAATAGTCATGAGCTCAAAATCCTCTGGATAGCTTAAGATATACTATTTATAACCATGGCCTCCTGGAAAGGGAAGAATAACATTCCTTTCCACACTTGGGGAAGAATTGAAACCCTAAAGAGGTTGTTTATTATTTTCACATCTGTGAATAAATGTGACTAGGCAAAACTAAAAGATACAATTTATGGCAAAACTGCAAGCTACAGTCTGAATTCTTTGACATTTTCCTGGACTACATACCACATTTTAGCTATCTGTTGGGAAAATACTGTAACAATGTTGGCATCTCAAACTAAGAATGTTTTTTGTGACACAAAATAGGGATTCCTGGGGTATCCTTGAGGTACAGACTTGGGATATAAGCATTTCCCAGTGTTTGGCTAATAATGGAACCTGGGCATAGGCTCAGGTTTTATCATGACAATTCCGCTTAGTCCTCATGCAATGCATACATTTAGAGCATCCATTATTGAGGAATTCCTCAGGAGGTGCGGAGAAAACACTTCAGTTCCCAGAAATCAGTCAGCTGAGGCACAGAGCATGCTATCTACCTTATCACAGATAGGAACCATAGAACTTAAGATGAATTCTCAGCTTTTGACAGCTTTCCTTCTCTTCCCCTGCAATTTCATAAACTGGGGGAAAGGAATGGGGAGGGAACCACCAGCAGCAGAGGGTTGGCAAAAGCATAAAAGCTTAACCTTGTTTTTTTCTGAACTTAACATAAATGGTGGAATTCAACGCAGCGTGGTTATGCATATGAGGAAGGAGGTCCATAGTGTTTGAAACTCCCATTGTTCTAGACACATTTTGCAACAGGGAATTTCACTAGTGCAAGCAGTTTCTGAATTCTGGGCCTAAAATTTCAGATTAAAACTGCACAGTGACAGGAAAGGAGGACCTTTTCCTACCTGCCCACTTCCAGCTGCTCTCTGAGGACTGCAAAGGGAACCCTCTTAAGAATATGGGGGGTGGGTGGGAAAGACTAGACTAGGCTTCCTCAACCTCAGACCTCCAGCTGTTTTGAGACTACAATTCCCATCATCCCTCACAACTGGTCCTGCTAGCTAGGGATCATGGGAGTTGTAGGCCAAAAACATCTGGAGGGCCGAGGTTGAGGAAGCCTGGACTAGACCATGTGAAAAATGAACATAATATTTTAGCAGCAGTTCATTCATTTTCAGCTTTGTATTTTTTTTTTTTTAAGTGTGCCTAGACATTCATATATCAGTGTCTAACACTGGGTCCATTTATGTAACGGAACTTTCCAACATCTCCTCCCACTGCATGGCCCCTACAGAGCCTATTTGGGGGCACATGGGGATGGGCACATTGTGTGTGCAACTGTGCAAGTGGACCTTGTCCTGCACACACAACAATTTAGTTGAATTCCACCCAAAACCCTTCAGTAGTGGGGGTGGGGAGATAAGCTTCCACTGACACTTATTCAAAGAGTTCATAAAAACAAGTTAATTGCAAATCAAGATAAGGAGCTTCACTCATTACTGAAGGTAAGGGGGCTGGGCTGTGACAATTTGCCTTCATTGCCACCATCTATTACTCTGCTGCCCATGTGCAGGATCTTCATATGATATGGAACCCTGCACATTCAGTGCTCTTAAGCATGTACAACAGGCTTCACTTTCCAAACATTTCCCCAGATGTGCAGGTGCTGAGGTGGCAACCATGAAGGGGAAAGCAGTGTAAATTCTGAAACAAATGGTGCACTCGCATATATTTTTTGGAGGAATTATGGACAGATTTATAGTTTGCAAAATACTGCAGAACTGGTGGATAACTGTTTTGCAATACTGAAATACGGTGTTATTTTATATTGAAATAAAAATATAAAAAATTAATATATTATCCCACATGTTGGGACAGAAAGTCACTTCTGCTTGCACAACAACAGCTGAAGGGCAGCAACCACCCATTAAAGTCACCAACTAATTACTACCTGCTCTCTACTACTGCTACTACCGCATCCACCAATTTTCTTCAGTCCTGAGTACTGCAAAGTATCGTGTATGAAAGTCACGGGGGAAGGGGAGATTCAGCATGTACAGAGCATGTTAGTGCAGGGTACATCTACATGTTTACTTGAATCTTAGTAATTGCAACAGATGAATGTATTCAGCATAAACCTACGGAATGTAAAGGTACCCATCTTTCCTTTACCTTAATCCAGGGGTGGGTAATATTTCAGGAGTGAAGAACCACATGGGTAGTCAACCTTTTTCCCCCTCCTTTCTACTCCATGCATCTATTAATTTCCTCTTTGTCTCTCACACATACATTCATACATTATCCATTCTCTCTCATATTCATTCTCCCTCTCCCCCTCCCTGCACAATCATAGAAGCACACACGGCTGCCCCCCCAATCCATCCAGCTTGCTTCCCTTACATTTGAGTACTTCTCTTTCTCCCCCCACCTGCTAATATCTTCTAGGCAACCAGCCGCCAATTCACTGCCAATTCAGCACTTGCCCCCCAAGCCTTCTAACCCTTTATGAAGCTTTCTGCAAGAGCTGGAAGAGGCATGAATGCCATTCTCGAAGCAGTGTGTGAATCTTGCATGGTTCTACTGAATTTTAGCAGGCAATTATTTTTGGTTTTAAGAAATATGAACTAGGGTGATCCAAAACACTCTTCAACAGACACGCACATTAATATATTGAGTCTTTCCTACACAATTTTGCTCCTGTTCACTAATCTCAGCTGCTATTAATCTATATATAACTGAAGAGTGCTCTTCCAGCCTCCGTAGATTCTCTGCCATTTCAGCCTTGCTTTGTCCCTAGCCCATGTTGTAGTCCTGTGCTGCCAGCCATGGCAGAACTCAGTGAAGGGAGAAGCCAGCCAACCAGCCGAGTCTCAGGGGGGTACTTGCCTGAAGGCAGAGTCCGTATGCAAGGTTCAGTTCAGTCCTAAGGTCAGGAGTATCTCAGTTCACATAATCAGACGATCCAGAGGTCAAGAAAGCCAAGGGTCACAGGAAGCAAGACACAGCATGGTCTGGCCAGGAACTACAAATGCTATTTCCAGCAACTGACTGAGGCTGGAAATCCTGCTCGAGAACGTTGGCGCCAGCTGGTTCTCATCAGGAGCAAGAAGGCTGATCAGCAGCAGGTGGAGCCACTTTGCCTTTTGCTCCTTCAGGCTGCTGCTCAGCTGGTGAAAAGCTGACTCCTGGCCCATGAGAGCCGTGAACCCAGCTCTACTCTCTCTGTTGCGCACATTCAATAAAATTAAAAAGCCAGGAGCAGCTGAAAGATGCAAACTGACTTCATGAACTAGAATCTCATTTCATTGGGGTGAGGTGGGCTGGAGATGTACAAGTGTACCCAAACCTTTAAAAGCTTAACTGGTCCTAGAACAGCAAATGGGCAAGGAGACCTTTTAGAAGCATGGAACTGGCAGGATCCATATTTCCAATTTGCTGTTCTCTCACCAACTGAGCAGAATTGGGGAACAGATCCAACACTCTTCTTTTCCTGCAGGGACATCTCTTGCAGGTAAAACTGCAACACGGCAGGGAATTTGGGGTTTGTGGGTCACGCTGAAGGCCTTCAAGGGCTGCTTGCAGCTCATGAGTCATAAGTTGTCCATGTTTCCTTTAAAGAAACACATACAAGAACATGTTCCCCATTCAACAAGCTACCATCTCAATATGTTACTGGATCTGTTTTTATAGTGAGTGCCTAAAATAACTTCTAAACAATATCTATTTGGTAATGGAGATTTGTTGCAGGAAAACAAGTAAACATAAACAGGCAGCACTACAAGTAATCTTGACACGTGTACACTATTTATTAAAACAATCACATTTATGGAGTTGGGGAAATGCTCCTGAGAATCAGCTTCTTGAAGTTTGACTTGGGCTGATGCCAGAACGTTTCAGGTTTAGTACTCGGGAGTATTGTTTAGAAGATAAATTGCCTGATATCAGATTTTGGGAAAGGTAGAATTACCATCAAGTCTTGTTGCATAACAATTCATTGGAGAGAACAAACCCTGTATTACTCATTCATGCTTATAATGAAGTAGTAATATGACTTAGGGGGATTTGATTTTAATACAAATTTTAGAAAATGTTGTTCATGTCAAGAGTAATCTACTGTATTACAAGTTTGAGATACGGTTTCAAAAAGATCCAGAGTAATATGTAGTCTTTAGTTCTTTTGCCATGAAAGAGTGATAGTTTCCACTAATTGTAAAATATTTGCACAGATCTTCTATTTTTCACTGAATGAGAATAGCTCAATGGTTCACTTTGGATGTACATTTTCTGGTTTCTAAACCACAGTTTATCAGCTAGGAACTAGAGTAGAGACCATAAGCTTCCCCACACTTGCTTGGTGAGTGTGTCAAAATACAGATTTTCTTTTTCACAATAAGGCTATCAAGATATTGAGAAGACTTGCCACTTTCTTAATAGCACTACCATACACCTGAGTCAAATTTTGTAAGGCAAATACATAAGATTCTACTGGAAAAACCTGACTAGTTCAATTATTTCAGTTTTATTTTTGTAAGTTTTATTTGTTATGGTTAATAGTTACTTATCTTCTTGATTTAAAGAAAGGATTTTAAATCTAGGTACAGTACATAACTGGTTGATCTGAAGATAGTAGTTATTTTTTTCATTGGGTATGCTGACATATTTAATTCATCTGGCTTTTATCTACTTATGCTTAATTGATGTATCATGCCCAGTTCCCTTGTTTTAAACAGTGATGACCAATGGTTACAATCAAGAAATGTGAGATTAACAGAACCTTATTTTGCTGCTACCACACAGAGTGCCAGCAGCAGCGGCAGCACAGTTCCCCTTTAGGAGGCCTGTCCCCCACTCAATATTTTGATCTCAAAATGGCTTGGACCATCATTCCAGGGTTATTTGGGGAAGGAAACATGGCAGCCGTCACATAAACTAATATAAATGTGACTGGAAATAAACAATAAGAAATCTTCAAACGAGTTATGTTTACTATTAAATATAATACTGGAATACAACAGTTCTCCCTTAGTCACATCAGTGATTCACAACCACACACAAGTTTCTTTACATTATGGAAAATCACTTGTTACCAGACCTTAAAAAAAAAAAAAAGTTCTCTAGTGCATCAGAAATGAAGCTATGCTGATAACAGCTGGAATGAATGAAAGAAACAGAGGGGTGTGGGTTTTATATAGTAGTTATTATAGTGGAGTTTGTCAGAAGCAATATTCGTCTTGCTGTTTGACAGAAAAGACAATTTCCGTGTACATCACACCATAAATGAAATGTAAAAGTAAGCTAGTATTATTCCATGTAATTTCGATTAGTTATGCTGTGTTGTTAAAAATGCTTTTTAAGCAACTCATAGTTTCAGCAATATTTATTGATGTATTCATTTTTTTTAATCGCAGGTGTGAAAAGTCTCAAAAGACAGATATTTAAAACTGTCCTTCTGCATTTTATTCCTTACCAATACATTTTGTAAGCAATAATAACTTCAGCATAACACCAGACAGTTTCTCAATTTCAAAGCCAGTAACAGCTATTAGCCTAATCTACCTAATTGAACAATGGATTTCTTGATGCAAGTGTAAATGCCAATTATAACTTCAATAATTCCCCCACATCTTAAGGTAAATGTCTAAAATATTTTAAAATACTACTATTTACATATACTCTGTATATGTAAGTTCAAATTTACAGAAATAGTTGACTATTTTCAGTGCCCATTTTTAACTTTGATTTAGTTTAAGACTGTGGTTAGGAAACCTGGGAAATTAAATTGTGTCCAACCTACTTTTCTTCTCTGGCAGTGGTGTGAAAATTACATTTCAGGGTTTACAAAATTCAACAGGAATATAAAATTCCACTTAACTACCCCCCACAATATGCTTTATTATTACACCTGCTGTTTTCCACAAGCAACGTAAACTTTAGCAGAAAAAAATTTCAGGACAGAAATCCTGCGTTGTCCCAGTATGAAGCAATTTCGCTTATATACCCACTGTATCTGCTGTTGAAACGGTTTAATAATAGAAGAGCATGCACTTTCATGTAATTCATAATTAGAAAACGACTACAACTGCATTATTTAAAATCATTCCTTTGTTATCAGCATCAGTTTTAGACAAAAGCGGGGAATCATTTGTGAGCCTTGGCAGACCCAGGCTGTTCAAAGCAATTGCTGTTCAGCATGAAAGCTGCAATGGAGGTCACAGAACAGGTCAGGAGGAAAGATAGTGTATCGATTTCACACCAGGAATAGAGGCGAAGCAAGGCCCCACTGTTGCTGCATGTGATGTATTTCACTACAGTTTAAGGCACATTTCATTCCAATTCAGGAGGGGGGTGGGGAGCAAAGGGCGAGTGGATTTCACACAGAATCATGATGAATTCTGAACTTGTGTATTTCAGTAAATACTGCCTTCCTGACATTAAGTATTTCTATATAACACAGGGAATATAACGGAAATTAGGCTGCAAGCATGTAGCAAACAGGACTAGCGGATAGGGTGTTATATTAAGCCTGCTTCCACAGGTAACAGCACAAATTAAATATCAAAGACAAAACAGACAATTGTTCGAAACTACGAACCTTCTGACACGTGACAATACTTCGTTCCAATGATCGGCATGTCCTAACACACGTTTGATTGTTTTAAAGTATTTTTACTCTGCTCATCAGCCAAAAAAAGGGTTTGCAGAGCAGCTTACAAATACAGTGGTACCTCGGGTTAAGTACTTAATTCATTCCGGAGGTCCGTTCTTAGCCTGAAACTGTTCTTAACCTGAAGCACCACTTTAGCTAATGGGGCCTCCCACTGCCGCCGCGCTGCTGGAGCACGATTTCTGTTCTCATCCTGAAGCAAAGTTCTTAACCTGAAGCACTATTTCTGGGTTAGCGGAGTGTGTAACCTGAAGCGTATGTAACCCGAGGTACCACTATATCAATAAGAAGCCAGTCCCTGCACTCAAGTGTACAATATTGAAAGTCGTGACAACAACAAAAAAAACCTATCTGGGAGGCTAAGAGGGAATAGCAGTTCTTACTTACAGGATTCCTGTAACACTGAGTTAGAAATGGAAGGAACTCAAGAAGAGGAGGGGCCAAAAGTTGCTAGTCTCTCAGCTAAGCTGATGGAAAGATCCTGCCTCTGCTATCGCCTGATGGAATGGATGCTCCAAGTTGACAACAGAGGGAGGAACCTGATAAAGCAGGTTTTTTAGCAGAACACTGGACAGCCCATAAGTCCCATTTCCCCCCTCCTATAGCTTGATATGCAGACATATCTCAAGAATTTAAGATCAGATCTTTCTCGCACAGGTGGTAAATGTTTGGTAGTTAGTGCAGTCAGTGACTGATTGGTTGAATAGCTTTCTCAAATAATATTTCATACACGAAGCAGCAAACATCGGTTACTTCAGATGTCTTGTAAATACTTTATCCAGGCTTTCCATGACCCATAGGAACAGACATTTTTTATATGAACTCCAGTTTTTAGTTGTTTTCATGAACTTTTATACTACTGTTTTGCTGGCTTTATGTTGTCTTTTTGTTTCAATTATACTGTTGCTGTTTTGATTTTGTTTGTGTGTCTGGAAGGCAGTTGGTGGATGGCTGGCGAATGACAGATTGAGATTGAATCCTGACAAGACAGAAGTACTGTTTTGGGGGGACAGGGGGCGGGAAGGTGTGGGGAACTCCCTGGTCCTGAACAGAGTAACCGTGCCCCTGAAAGACCAGGTACACAGCCTGGGAGTCATTTTGGACTCATAGCTGTCCATGGGGGCGCGGGTCAATTCTGTGTCCAGGGCAGCTGTTTTCCAGCTCCCTCTGTACACAGGCTGAGACCCTACCTGCCCACAACTGTCTTGCCAGAGTGGTGCATGCCCTGGTTATCTCTTGCTTGGACTACTACAATGTGCTCTATGTGGGGCTACCTTTGAAGCTGACTCGCAAACTACAACTAATCCAGAATGTGGCAGCTAGACTGGTAACTGGGAGTGGCTGCCAGGGCCGTATAACACTGGTTGTAAAGTATCTTCACTAGCTCCCAGTACATCTCCGAACACAATTCAAAGTGATGGTGCTGATCTTTAAAATCCTAAACAGCCTCGGCCCAGTATACCTGAAGGAGCCTCTCCACCCCCATTGTTCAGCCCGGACACTGAAGTCCAGTGTCGAGGGCCTTCTGGTGGTTCCCTCACTGCGAGAAGCAAAGCTACAAGGAACCAGGCAGAGTGCCTTCTCAGTAGTGGTGCCCACCCTGTGGAACACATTCCCTTCAATTGTCAAAGAAATAAACAACTATATGACTTTTAGAAGACAACTGAAGGCAGCCCTGTATAGGGAAGTTTTTAAGGATTGATGTTTTTATTATGTTTTTAGATATGTTGTAAGCCGTCCAGGTATGTTGTAAGCCACCTAATAACAATAATGATGATAATGATAATTTATCCTGCTTAGAAATTTTTATTATATATTAATCAATTTGTATATGTTTTAAACAATACAGTGTTAACAGTGTAAACAGAAACACAATGATAGATTTTGTGAAACCTTCACAACAGGCTTCCCAAGTTCACATTGAGGTATTTCACTCGTATCCAGAAGCCACCAGTTTAGGGATATGTGACCCAGTAATGTACTGACTAGGATCTCTACGATCTTCAGCCTTCAATAAAATAATTTGCTGAGATAATTACAGCAAAGGGCCTTCCCTGCTTCAGTGACTGAATGACGTGAAAACAAGGCTTTAAAGTTTTTACTACTGTTTGTGAAATATTAGCTTCAGTTGAAAAGGAAATGAGATCAGAGCAACATATTTTCTACTTATGCTGAACTAGCATGGTAATAGTAATAATCTCTCTATAGATGCCTAAAAATATTTGCTATTGGGCTGTATAAAACTATTGTAAACAAAAAAAAGGCAGAGACACTAGCAATTCAGTATGTAATTTAATCTGAATATAGCCTACTGAAAATGCCAAATATACATCCCCACTCCCATATTCATGGGGTAAATAAAATTGACACTTCTGACCCTTAAGGCCAGGGAGATGAGCCTGAAATAATAACCATGTTTGTCCATCACACTAATTCAGGGTTTGGGGCAGGCATAGCCAAACTCGGCCCTCCAGATGTTTTTGGCCTACAACTTCCATGATCCCTAGCTAGCAGGACCAGTGGTCAGGGATGATGGGAATTGTAGTCCCAAAACATATGGAGGACCGAGTTCGCCTATGCCTGGGTTTAGGGTGAGATGTACAAATAACAGCAAGCTCAGACTGTCGTGCTCCCTTCTGCATGGACAAGAGAAATTTGGAAGCTTTTCCTTCTGCTTTTAATTGATCAGAATTTGTCATATTGTCCAGACCCAGAATTGTGGTTAAGAGTAACCGTAATTAATTTAAACAAGCCAGCTTTAGAAACCATGGTTTACGCAAATGAAAGTACAACCTTCTAAACTAGTCTCTTGGCAGGGTGGAAATCAAGGAGATTAAGCTCCCAAGTCCAAGGCTTGCGGCGGGTTGTTGCCACTTTTGCACATCACCCTAAAGCATGGTTTAAAATAACATGTTATTGCAGGCAGTGTGGGTGGGTCTCAGTGACACTGCAGTAACCAGAGGGGAGTTGAGCAACACTTCTACTGGTAAGCAGCAGGTCATAGTGCAAACTCATATGTTTGCGTTATAATAATAATTTTATTGTTTATACCCCACACCATCTGGCTGGGTTTCCCCATCCTACCCCTGCATCAACAAAAGTTGGTCCAATTAAAAGATAAATCGTTTTAAATAATGGTTGTGTTATTTACCTCTACCTGGTATGTCATACTGAAAATTGGGGTAAGGGCCACAACTCAGTGTTAGAGTACCTGTTTTGAATGCAGGAGGTCCCAGGTTCCATCTCCAGGTAAGAACAGAGAAGACCTTTTGCTGTATGAAATCACAGAGTCACTGCCTGCCAATGTCTACAGTACTGAGCTGAATATCCGCATGCCGTTTTTGGTGCCGAAAGAGTGAGGGGCAAGGGCAGAACAGGGCAGAACTTGTGTGTGTGTGTGTGTGTGTGTGTGTGTGTGTGTGGTGACCCAGAATGGAACCCCTGCATAAGTGGGGATTCCCCTGTAAGCCAATTGTCTGACTTGGTATAAGGTAACTTCCTATGATCTTATGTGTACATAGAGGAGCAGCTGTATATATTTTTGCTTTCTTAGAAACCTTGAGCTCTCGAAACCTACCGGTATCTTAGCATAATTCACCCTCCTTGATGCCCTCCATTTTTAAGTGTTCTGCTTTTGAAATTCAAATGAAGCCATGGTTTGTAATCATTGTTTGGAGAGCTCACACAAATCATAGCTGCTAATTCAGATATCATGTCAGGCTATGGTTTCTTTTAAAGCAAAAATAACTCATTAAAATGGAGCTCATGAGGAGAGGAAGGCGCACAGGGCTTGTTTAGTCATAGTTTAGTTTAGTTTAGTTAAGAATGAAATAAAGACACAAAACACACATTTCATTTGAAATCAAGGTTACTACAACTCCCATAATTTTCTTATTATTTTCTCCTCTCTCAGAATATCTTTAAATTTGTGATGGAGTAATTATCGGAACATCACAAAAGAAATAGAAAACGACCATGCAGCAGCACTTGAGCTAATTTATACAAGCCCTTATCTAAAAAAGAAAACTACCAAGTGGACATGCTTTTAGTGAAAGTCAGGTGGCAAGTGGGCGTGTTCACGGGAATGTAACGCAGTTTCCTTTATGCCTGAAAAAATGAAGTTCAATCAAGTGCACAGCATTAAATTGCAACTTCAGCTGGTAAGATGCTATTATCAAAACATACAGCAACTTCAGCAACAATTTCATTCAAGCGACAATATTTGGGGTAAATGGTGTGAACAGAAACTCTTAGTTCTACACAAGACATTTTCAGATTGGTTTAAAAATACAGTTAACTGCTTTAGAGTCAGTTTAGCCTGTACTTAATGAATATCTGCTACAGGCATAGCTGCCATAAGTAAGTGATCCTCACTCTCGTGCCTGTGTAAGGTTGACAGGCAATTTGGTCCAGGCAATTAATGGCATTTCCTTGAGGAACCTGGAAGACAGATACTCTTTCAACCAGAACAGGACAGAAACTCTTTTCTGTTTCTGGGTGTGCTACTAAGACAAGGGAAGGTTCAAAGTCCTAGCATATTGTTCACAAGTATCATTGTACATATGACCTTTTCTTTCAAGCAAAGAGACAGGCCCTCATCATTCCAGTTCACAGTAACTGTGTACGGAAAGGGTAGTCAATGTGATGCCTCCCATAAGTTGCTGGACTACAACTCCAATAATCCTTGACCACTTGGCCATTATGGCCGGGGTTGATGGGAATCATAGTTCAGAAACATCTGGTCTAAGTTATGGTGACTCAATTAGGGAGAACTAATATTTATCAATAAATCTGGACATGGCATCTCCAAAACTACCTGCCTTATATTTAAGATTTCTGATTATTAAGGTAAAAGCATTCCCCCAATGGCAGCTGCTGAGTTTTGCAGTATTGAAGGCAACTGTCTGGTTTTGTCATTAAAGGAATTAGCAAACCTGTGCAAATATTCATTCTCTTGGTTAGAGTTTTGCCAAGGCTATTGATATACTTTATAATGCCAAGGGTGATAATTTCAGCATTCATTTTTATGTATTAAAATGTTTTCCAAAAGTTCAGTGATGTAGAAGTGGAGTTGAGCTTCTGAAGTCAGGCAAATAATTATCTCGACTTTCCCACATGCGATTTGGACAAAGAGAAATTACTTCCTGATTGTGCTCACTTTGATTTCTGCCCAGGAACAAGCAAGATAGGAAAAACAAGAAAAGAGGGTGATAGGGCTACAGCGTATATTTCTAAGATCCCTATGTGATGAGGGAAGTGGAAGGAAGCAATGAACTAGTAAAATAATAAATAGTTGTGCCACTGACCTCCAGCATGACAATAAAAAACAGCAGGTGGAACACCATCTTGTTTATTCCAAGCTTGTAAACAGCCACTTGCCTGGTCACCAGTGGCAACGAATTCTTTGCTCTAGGCAGCCATTAGGGAACCATTTATAAACTGGCACAGAGAGACCTCCCCCCCCCTTCAGGTAGCCAATTTGTCTCAAAGGAGTAAACTAGCAATGTAGGGATAAACAGGGCAGGCTAGTAATTTTTGAGGACTTACACGCAAGGCTGGTTTATCCCACTGGGGCTTTGGCACTCTGCCTCCTACTGGAACCCCAAGGGGAGTGTGTGCCCTGCATGGCAATCGTCCACACCCTCCTAAGAAAGCCTGTCTCATTCTTTGAAAATCATCAAACAGAAGCATTTATTCATTACTGATATGCCCAAAAATATAGTGCAAATTATTCAGAATATTTGTAACTATAAACTCTCTGTGAAGCATGGGTGAACAAATAATTTAAAATTAAGGGGATCTGTATGCATCAAAAATTATTTTAATTGCCTTTTTCTGCTTTATTGATTCACATTTTTTTTAATTTTCCTTCATCAACTTTCAACATGATTCACAAATAAGACACTTAGAAAATGAAGAAATGCTCTCTTTACATCTTTCCAAATGTAATTTACATATAAGAACTAGGTTCCAAAAAACCTGGTCTGTCAGTTTATACTTTCTGGGTAGAAACAGAATGGAAAACGTGCACTTAAACATTAGCTTTCTCAATTCAAAAGAATATCAACTGATATCTCTATTAGCTGAAGAGATTTTGTCTTCCACGCTGCTCTAAAATAAAACAAGTTAAAGGAAGATGTACAATGAGCAACACTGAGGAGGAGAATTCTTTTGCTCCAGAGGTAAATATATTCTTTTTCTTTCTGTAAGCCATGATTATTAAAATGTAATGTTGGGGTAGGAACAGCAGAACTTGGGGAATTCTACATCAGCCGTTAGAAAGATAAACATGTTTAGCCAGAAACAAGGAAGAATGGGCCTGGCTCAGAAGCTACCTGAGGCAGGTTTGGGATCTGGGACTAGCCAGGCTGAGTAGCTGGATATGGGAGTAAAGTGAAGGTATGCAAGGTGTAAACTGGTTGGGTTGAGGTTAAAGTACACTTTAGGCTACATTTTTTTCCAAAAAAAGCACACTCTTTTTATTTTGGAAACATTTCAAAGGCTTAGCTTTCGGAACTTGAAACTATTGCACTGACTAAATAATCCTATGAGCCTCACACTTTATCTTATGTCTCCCTTATTTAATTATGACCACAATAATAGGGAAGGAATTATAATGTACTACATATTTTTTCATGTATCTTGGTATGT